ACTTGACACCTGCAGGTGCCAAGCCTCGCATCCCCCATTACTACAGGAAGCAGTGATGCGAAAGGGGGCAGCGGGGGGCGGCGGAGGTGGGGGGTGCCTAGCCTGGCACGTCTCCCAGAGTCCCTTGCCATTTGGGGCTTTTCCAGCTGCCTGTCCCTCTTCGCTCTGGCCTAGCGCCATCTAGCAGCAGACTGGACAACCGCAACTTCCGTCTATCCCACAGCAGTATCTTTCCTGGTAAGGCTTAAAAATGTGAACCGCGGTGGTGCAAATGGTTAAAGGTCCTCGCCTTGCACGCCCGGGATCCCATATGGTCGCCGGTTCTAATCCCGGCAGCCCCGCTTCCCCTCCAGCTCCCTGCCTGTGGCCTGGGAAAGCAGTCGAGGACAGCCCAAAGCTTTGGGACCCTGCACCCGCGTGGGAGACCCGGAAGAGGCTCCTGGCGAGACCCGGAAGAGGCTCCTGGCTTCGGATCGGCATAGTATCGGCCGTTGCGCTCACTTGGGGAGTGAATCATCGGACGGAAGATCTTCCTCTCTGTCTCTCCTCTCTCTGTATATCCGCCTTTCCAATGAAAAAATAATAAAAAATAAATTTAAAAAAAAAAATGTGAACCACCTCCGTTTGACAAAAACCACCTTGGAGTCATGGCTGACACTGTTTCCACAGGTTTGTTGGCAGTTTTCATCAAACTTGAGCAACATGTGTAAAATGCTTGGTCGTTTGAGCAGAGCTTGCACTAAGACACCAACTTTGCTTTGTAAGGAGACGGTACGCACAGACTTCCATCGGCCTGTGTGGATTTCCATACTTCACTGGTGCCTGTCAAAAAGATCTAATTGACTTTTACTAGAATCATTACAGAAGTTAATCTTCTCGGAGGGTTAGCACTGTGGACTTATGACTCCAGTTACGTTTTCTGATGTGAATTTTGTTTTTGAAAATTGTCTCTTTTAGTTCCGTTCTTCCTGGTCACCCCCCTAACATTAGTAACTATAACTATTGTTTCCCTTCATTACAGTGAGTGAGCCCATCAGACTGACGCTAATTGACCTGTTATCTGAACTGAAACCCTATTACATGTTAAGCACAGTTTAAAAAAAAACAGAAAAAAGAAAAATAGAAAGTGGGCCCAGCATGATAGCATAGTGGCTAAAGTCCTCGCCTTGAACACACCGGGATCCCATATGGATGCCAATTCTTTTTTTTTTTTAATTGATTACATTGCATTATGTGTCACAGTTTTATAGGCACTGGGATTCGCACCCCCCCCCCAACCTCCCTCATGGTGGATTCCTCCCCCTTGTTGCATTACCACAGTTCAAATTCAGTTGAGATTCTTTCATTGCAAGCATCAACCAAGCATAAAGTCCAGCATCTTATTGTCCAGATAAGTTCAACAGTTTCTTGGGGAGACCATCTCTGGTCTGAAGGCAGAGCTGGCAGAGTATCATCCTGATCAATTAAAAGCCCCGACATTACATCAGTAACAATTTATAACGTTATGGAATTAGTTGACATGGTATTGAGTAATCAATATGTTAAAAGAAAAAAAAAAAAGAATGCAAGTTCTGAACCACATCCTGTGACTTTTACATTGACATTTCAATTATTAGTTTATATACAACCGGGTTCTATACACCTTAAAATGGCTATAGATTACTATTCAGCTGTCTCATGTCTATTTTTAGTATTTAGCAGTTTATAGCGTTGAAGCATGATTTTGCTGAACCTGGCTGTTTTTCAGGTAGTCTAAATCTATAACTCTAATGAGACATATGTCAACAGTTTAGGTGAACAGTTTTAGGAGGGGTGTGCAGAGAAATCTTCAATACCGTAGTGAGGAGTAACTAATCTTTGTGTCCCACCCAGTGAGTTATAAGTGCATCCCCGCTGACCGTTTCCTGTCTGTTTCTAAGCTTTCCTTGTTGTTCTCTATCTATTCTAGTTTTTTGTTTGTTCATTTGTTTGTTTTGAGGGGTTTCTGGAGCGATCCTGATGGTCATTACGAGAGAGGGTGGGGACCTGAAGTGGAAACCAGGAAAGGACCAGAGAAAGCTCCTCTCCCTAGTCCCTGGCTGTTGTGGCCATTTGGGGAGTGAACCAGTGGATGGAAGATCTCTCTCTCTGTATGTTTATGTCTCTCCTCCTAACACTGTCTTTTTAAAAAAAATAAAGCTTTAAAAACAACAACAGCAAAACCCCTAAATAGGTGGTCCAGCTCTGTGGAGTGACAGATCAAGCCTCCACCCACAGTACGGGCATCCCTTATATGCGCCTGGTCGAGTCCCAGGTGCTATACTTCAATACAACTCCCTGTCGACAGCCTAGGAAAGCAGCAGAGGATGACCTGAGCCCTGCGACCATGTGGGATATCCAGAAGCAGCTCCTGGCTCTTGGCTTTGGACCAGCCTAGCTCTGGCTCTTGCAGCTATTTGGGAAGTGAATCAGGAGATGGAAGATATATCTGTCTCGCTGCTATTCAAGTATTTATTGAAATGTTTAAAAAAAAAAAAACCTGAAGCAGCTGTGGGCCCAGAGCGATAGTCTGGTGGCTAAAGTCCTTACCTTGCATGTGCTGAGATTCCATATGTGCACCGGTTCTAATACCGGCAGCCCCACTTCCCATCCAGCTCTCTGCTTGTGGCCTGGCAAGGAAGTGGAGGACAGCCCAAGACCTTGGGACCCTGCACCCGCGTGGGAGACCTAGCAGAAGCTCCTGGCTTCAGATCAGGGCAGCACCAGCCACTGCGGTCACTTGGGGAGTGAAGCATCGGATGGAGGATCTTCCTCTCTGTATATCTCACTTTCCAATAAAAACATAAAACCTTAAAAAAAAAACTGAAGCAGGTGTGTGCCAGTGCTAACCCGGCTGGAACTGAAGACTCAAACCAGGTGATCTCCATGTACCTGCCCAGCCAGCCAGAGATGCCTCCTGCGAGCAGAGACGCGCTCTGAGGCCGAGAGGGCTAGGGCGCTACGCATCTGGCTTATGGATTATTTTAGATTTGAAGAGGGAGTGAAGGAGTGAAGGGGAGGGAACAGCCCTTCCTGACCCAGTTTCATGTCACGCGGGGAGCCTGTGGGGAACTCGCAAGATCACCCCAAAAGGGGCAGGACAGGGTGTGACACGCCTGTGTCCAGCCCAGGCCCTGAGCGAGGCCAGGCAGCAGGCTGCACCAACCGGGAAGCACTGAGGCTGGCGGCTTGTCCTTGCACGGCTCAGCGCATCCTCACGAGCCTTGGGGGGCTGCTGCCTCTTGCTGCACATTTCTTACTTTTTAACAAATGTGCTGCGGCCAGCGTAGTTTTGCTTCATGTCTAATGAAGGGAAAAAACTGTTTACATAGCAGCCCCGGGCCTGACACTGCGCAGCTGAGGTTAGTGAGCGAGCTCACTTGCAGAACTGACACAAGCCAGCAGCCCGGGAGAAAAACAATTCCTTTCGAAGCACGCCAGTCCCAGGTGAAAGTGGGAGCAGGCCAACATGTTAAATAAGACACAATCAGGGTAAGAAGGGATCAGCCTCGCAGGGCGGGGGAGAGGCCCAAGCCACATACTCGGCTTTTGGGCCTGGTTGCATAATGTGCACCGGATAAACGGGCAGGGTACGGCCTGACTCATGCGCACCAGGCCAGCTGTTTCTATATATAAACTCCCTCGGCGGTAACACTCTCCCCACAGGACATCAAACGTGGCCCGAGAATGGCCAGCCTCGCTGTGCACCCCGGGCGACGTCTTTGTGCCTGTCCTGCTTCTGCCCCAGACCCCACTCCTGTTCCTTGCCTGGGGGAGAGTGCTAGGTTTCTCCATCCAAGTTCTTGTCACCAGGGCCTGTTTCCTCAGCAGTCTTTGCCCACCGCTGACACTCCACGGTTACTTCAACAGGCTTGGGTTTCCGACCTGCAGACCAAACTGTTCAACATAGAGACACAGTGGCCCTGCTGACACGCCGGGCAGTTTGGATTGGGGACAGCTTGAGGCCCAGGCTCTGGCCAGGAGCACAGGCGAATGGTCGCGGCTGCTGAGTGCACACCGCGTGCTGCCTCGCTCCCTCTGCTCTCCTCAGCTGCTGGAGTGGGGAGCATCCTCTCCATTTCACAGGTGAATAGGGGATCTGTCCAGCAGGTAAGCAGTCGAGACAGGCTTTGAACTCACAATCAGCAGCATTCTCTTTCCTCACTTGGGAAAGCATCACTGGATGGCCAAGTTCAGATCTACTCACCCTGGAAGCACCTGCTGGCTTCTTGTCCCCCATTTGCAACAAGAAGTTTCATGTGAGCACTACTTCTTTGCCAAGTGTATATTTCTAGGAAATTGCCAGCAACAGGTAGTATGTTCTAGTAGAAAGTTCATGAGTTTTGGAAGCAGACTGGATAATGCTAAATTTTGGTTTTCTGACCAGAAGCTATTGGATCTTGAACAGCTTCTTATCCCTGGGCCCACTTTCTCATCCACAGACGAGGCCCGACATCTACCTTGGACATGACGTGCTGTGACACTGTTATGACATCACCGACATAGAAGCTGGCTCTGTTTCCTTCCTTTCTTAGCCAGAGACACCGAGGGGCAGCAGGACCCGGATCCCAACAAGGCTGGAGCACACACTTCCTGCGGGCAGCTGCCGTGATCACCAACCACTGGCTCATTCATCCCGGTCAGCCTTCTTCTGTCAGCACCTGTCGGTGGGCCCAGCCAGGCCTGGGGGACTGACCTGAGACGGGGTTGCAGTTGAGGGCAGAGCTCTGGGGAGCTCATTACCAGCAATGCGGAACTCTCCTGGCCCCAGGACTAAATATTTCCATTGGATTTATTCCAACACATCACAGCCACTGTGTTATTTTTCAGGCGACTAGAATCACTGTGAAGATTGCAGAACCGAAGGGAAAAGTTTGCCACAGCACCGCAGGAAGTAAAACCTGTAATTGCAACCTTGTAGAGCTGTAGGACTATGGTTATAGGAGGAGAGGGGAAATGAAAATAAGATGTGAGGGCTGAGGTACTATAAATTTCTTTTCATCTTTATTCTCTAATAGTCAATTATCTCACAATTTACAAAGTGCGTGGTTTAAAGAAAACCTAACAATCAAGATGTTGACACGTAGGCAGTACGGTCTCATTCCGCCCGCTGTGTTTCTCAATTGTTCAGCTCAGGTGGGACTGGATCAGCTTCCTTGGACAGGAAAGACCACACCAGGTTGTAGGGAGGGGGATTTCACTTTGACAAAGCCGTGGAGCACTGGGGTGGGGGGCTGCTCCTACAGCAGGTGCAGCGCTGGCCCCTTTCAGGGAGCACTGGGGGCAGAAGCAATGCACCAGCACAGCTGCTTTCCTACAGTGCCATCTGGTGGCAAACTTGCTAATGGCGCCAGCGGTTCAAGCCAGACCTGAGAGGCAGCAACACGGAAAACCATTTAGATAGGTCAAAACTGAACCAGAAAGTGCCAGAGCAAGTCACACCGCTCATCTACATGTGGGTCCTGGGAGGGAGAGAAGCAGCAGCCGAGGGAGCCGGGGGCCGTGCTGCACACGCACAAGGCTCAACGTGGCTTTTCAAAGAGGTACTCCAGATCCGGGGCCCGCAGTCTCTGCTCTTTGTTCTTGTTTTTGGCAAAGTCTCTCAGCAGTGTCATGACTTCATTTTCAAATATTTCCGGGGCTGGCTTTGCTTCTGCAAGAAGAGTGGACAGAAAGAATTATACCATAGTCACGTTCAGGTATCAGAAACTCTGGCCTGGTTTAAGAAACACAGGTGGGCACTCCGACTGCAGACCGTCTCTGTTCTTCCTTGGGACAGACATGACGTCAGCAGCTGCTCCCAGGTAGAGTAAGGGTCAGCCATGGCGGCTTTCCCATTATGGCAGGAGAGCCGAGTCGCTGTCCGCAAGACCACGTGGCCATCAGATTTAAGTGTGCAGGCTCTCACCATTCTGCCTCTGTCACTGTGCTGTGCAATGGGCAGTTCACGTTTTCCAGGTACCACATTTCCCCTTGTAATCTACACATTTCTGAGACAAGCTTTCACTTTATTATTTAGATGTCCTTGATTAGAAGTGACAGAAATTGGGCCCAGCATCATGGCTTAGTGGCTAAAGTCCTCGCTTTGAACACGTCGGGATCCCATATGGGTGTCAGTTATAAACCCGGCAGCTCCACTTCCCATCCAGCTCCCTGCTTGTGGTTGGGAAAGCCTTGGGACCCTGCACCCACGTGGGAGACCTGGAAGAGGTTCCTGGCTCCTGGCTTCAGCTCGGCACAGCACTGGCCGTTGCAGTCACTTGGGGAGTGAATCATCGGACGGAAGATCTTCCTCTCTGTATATCTGACTTTGTAATAAAAATAAATAAATCTTTTTTTAAAAAAGAGAGAGAAATTGGTAACTCCAGCAAACTTAAGTGAAAAGGAATTTTCTGGAAGGATATTTGAGGCACTGTGATAGAACTACATTTAAGTGGCCAGCAACCAAGGCACTGGCAGCAAAGAAACGAGAAGGCTGGAAGGCCAGCTCAGGCCGACACTCTGGCAGTGTGCTGCTCAGGCGGCTTCTCCTGTCCGAGACATCTGACCAAGCGGCCAGCACTGCAGCGTAGCAGGTGAAGTCCTTGTCTACAATGCCAGCATTCTATCATTCTGCATAGGCACTAGTTCATGTCCTGACTGCTCCACTTCTGATCCAGCTATCTGCTAATAGCCTGGGAAAACCAGTGGCAGATGGGCCAAGTATTTGGGCCCTTAACCCCCAAGTGGGAATCCTACACAAAGCTCCCGGCTTTGCTGCCATCTGGGGAGTGACGTAGCAGACGGAAGAACTTTCTCTGTCTCCCCGTCATTCCTCACTCTGTGGCTCTAAGTGGGGGGGCAGGGAGCAGTATGGTAACTCAACAGGCTGCGCATCAGCAAGTACTGGCATTCCAAATGGGCACCGGTTTGTGTCCTGACTACTCCATTTCTGATCCAGCTTCCTGTCAGGGGCTTAGGAAAGCAAAGGCCCAAGTCCTTGAGTCCATGAACTCACATGGGAGAACCAGAAGCAGTTCCTGGCTCTGGACCTGCCCAGCCAGCGGATGCAGCCATTGGGGAGTGAACCAGCTGATGGAAGATCTCTCTTTCTCTCTCTCTCTAACTCTGCCTTTCCATAAATAAATCTTATTTTAGAACATTGCCCAAAGGCAAGCAGTTTTTTAAAAGGTAAACTTAAGGATTAGATGTTTGGCACAGTGGTTAAAATGACACTTGATGAGGGGCAGGGAGCAGTGTTGTGGCATAGCCCTTAGGATGCTGTCATACTGGAGTGCTGGTTCATGTCCTGGCTACTCAGCTTCCAATCCAGCTCGCTGCTAAGGTGCCTGGGAAGGCAGCAGAGGATGGTTCAAGTCCTCGGACCCTGCCTCTCACATGGGAGACAGGACGGAGTTCCTGGTTCTTGGCTTTCGCCTGGCTGACTAGGCCGTTGCAGCCAACTGGGTAGTTAGTGGATGGAGGCTCACTGTCTCTTGCCTTTCCTTTTCAAATAAATAGCAGATAGAAGATCTCTATCTTTCAAACAAACAAATGTTTTAAAAGGTAAGTTTATTTTGACCCCGGTGTGGTAGCCTAGTGATTAAAGTTCTCACCTTGCAAACGTCGGGATCCCATTTGGGTGCCAGTTTGTGTCCTAGCTGCTCTACTTCCCTTCCAGCTCCCTGCTTGTGTCTGGGAAAGCAGCAGAGGACAGCCCAAAGCGTTGGGACCCTGTACCCACGTGGGAGACCCAGAAAAATTTCCTGGCTCCTGGCTTCAGCTCTAGCTGTTGCGACCACTTAGGGAATAAACCAGCGGACAGAAGATACTCCTCTCTGTATTTCCTTCTTTATATATAACTGCTGTTCAAAAAAAGAGGTGAGTTTATTTCGGTGCAAACTAATTTTGAAATCTATGCATAACTTTTTCTACACTATGCATTTCCATGAACTTTTGGAAGACCCCTAGTATGCATGGATTCAAACCTTTTTTGCACCAAAGTAATGAACCTTTTAATTTCAGTTTCTACACAGTTTTCTAGTCAAAGCTAGGAAAGAGAATTCCTTAAAACTAAGTCCAATTCTCCCTTGGCACGGGACCAGGCATCTCATGAGCATTCCGGCTTTTTGTGATGGTCAAAATGAAGTCATACAGACTGAGCCTGAGCAACACGCAAACCTGGGAACTAGACACAACTTCGCTTGAAGTCGTCAGAGGGCTGAGGTCACAGGCCAAGCCTCAGTTCCCGAGATGAGCAAGGAACTAGAGGAGACGCTGGACACGCACACTCGCCTCTGTGACGGCCACAGAAACGAGAGACATCAAACAACACAACTGGTAAGAAAAACTCAGTTTGGAATGACTACAAAAGCCAAATGTGAGTTAGTGTGAGCATAAAGCCCCTGGGATCCACAGGCATAAGCACAGCCGACACCCACTCGCGGGTTCCTCTACTCCAACAAAGCTGGGCGTGGAACAGATGCTGGAGGCCGCCCCCAGGAGCAGGGGAGCGGCCCGCGAGGCCAAACACAGAACAAAACAAAAACACAACGGAAAAAAAAATCCACTGAAACAAAAATTCACACAAAGCCCAGCGTGCGCACAGGTGAACAACCCTGCGGAATGATGGAAGGACACAAGGAAAACAGACTCCTCCCCGGGGAAGGGGAAGGGCCCGGGCACGCCCACAGCAGCCCCAAGGCTCAGGGCCCAGCTGCACAAAGCTGAGGCAGCAGGTGACAGACAGCAGGGGTCTCCTGCAGGGCGGGTTGGGGCATGGCACAGGAAGGCACAGAAGGCCAAACGCTGAGGGTGGACAAGAACACTGAGCAGCCATGTCCAGACGCCTCCACCCAGCACACAGGAACACCACAGGCTAATGACGTGCTCAAGATAGCCAAGGTCAAAGCAAAACCCAAACTGGGGCTGAGTATGTGGCACTGGAGTCGACTGCTGCTAGGCACATCTGCATCCCTTACTGGACAGCCTGGGTTTCAGTGCCGGCTCTGCTCCATTCCAGTCTCCTTATGAAGTGGACCCCGGCAGGCAGCAGATGGATGCCTCCAGCTCCAGCATTCGGGTACCTGCCACTCACGGGGCAGAAAGACTGAGTTCCCAACTCCCAATACAAGCTCAGCCTCAACTGCTGCGGGCATTTGGGAAGCCAACCAGCAGACTGAGATTTCACTGTCTATCCCTTAGCCTTTCAAATAAAAAATAGAAATTGAACCTGGTTTTATTGCTAACTTAACCATTTTTACTAACCTATTTTTACTGAAAAGGCAGATTTACAGAGAGAGAAAAGATCTTCTGTCAGTTGGTTCACTGCCCAAGTGGCTGCAACAGCTGGACCTGAGCTGATCCGAAATCAGGAGCTTCTTCTAGGTCTCCCACGCGGGTGCAGGGACCCAAGGCTTTGGGCGGTCCTCCACTGCCTTCCCATGCCACAGGCAGGAAACTGGATGGTAAGTGGAACAGTGAGGACACAAACCAGCACCCATGTGGGATCCCAGTGTGTGTAAGGCAAGCATTTAGCCACTGGGTCACCAAGCTGGGCCCTAATTTCACCAACCTGACCCCCCAAACCAAGAGCCATGCGGAAGTGGTACACTCAGTTCTGGGAATAACACTGTAACACAGTCTTTTTGTCTTACCCATGAGTGAAAAATTATGAATATATATACAACAGGGAAAAAAGAGTTGGGGCAAAGTAATGAACAGACTCGGGGATGACCTACATACCAGAACATACCAGAGAGTCTGCAGTAAGAAAAGCTAATATTAAAGACTTGTGGAAGACGCACACAACATGCATGAGCAGATAAGAAAACTGTAAAAGTCACTGGGAAATGCGAGGACTACAGTGGAATGACTTTAACAGGTTCATCATGAGAGTTGACATAATCAAAGGAAAGAATTAGAAGGCAGGTCAATTGCTACTAGTCAATAAATCACACAAACTGACAACAAAAACAAATAGAAAACCAAAGCAGAGGAGCTGTTGCTGTGACAGTGAGTAAAACTACTGACAGCTGCGCTGGCACCTCATACAGGTGTCGGTTCAAGTCCTGATGCTCCACTTGTACCCAGCTCCCGGCTGCTGCACCTGGGAAGGCAGAGAAAGACAGCCCAAGTGCTTGGGCCCTTGCACCTATGTGGGAGAGCCAAAAGAAACTTCTGGCTCTTGGCTTCCATCTGTCCCTGCTCAGCCATTGTGGCCATTTGGGGAATGAACTAGCAGATGGAAAATCTATTTCTCCCTCTCTGTGTAATTCTGCCTTTCAAATAAATACATTATGAAAATACAAAGCAGGGAATACAGAAATTACAGGACAATACCAAATGCTCTAACCTAAATGTAATTGGAATGCCAGAAGGAAAAAGAGAGAATGAGGCAAAAGAAACATCTGAAGATAGAATGGCTGGAATTTTCCCCAACAACAATGAAAAATTTATTAGATACAGCATGTCCAGTAAACAAGAAGGCAGGATCACTATCTGAACAAATTACATCAAATCCAGACAACGAGAAACCAAGGACAAAATGCCAAACATACTCGGAAAGAAAAGGCACTCCTAAAGGGATGGAGACGTGGCACACTCAGAAGCTCGGCACACCAGAAAGCAGTACACGGACCGCTTGGGGAGCAGGAGCTGGCAAAGTGCGGCACC